GTTTCGCATGATATTATTAATATTTTAATAGAAAAAGTGCGAAACGCACCATTTTAACAAATAAATGGTGATTTTCGCACCATTTTATTAATATTTTAATAGAAAAAAGTGCGAAACACACTATTTTAATATAAAATGGTGAGGTTTGCATGATTTTATTAATATTTTAATAGAAAAAATGTGAAATGAATTATATTAGTAACAAAAATTTTTTTGAACTAAGATTTGGATTTGCGTAGCGTTACTATGAAAAAAAAGTTGCGTAGAGTTAATAGTAAATGCATGCCGATCATTTGTGAGTTATATTAGTATTATTCGGGGTCCTGCTTCATTTGGTTTTGTGTTGCTGTAAGAATATGTGGCGTTAAAAAATCTTTACAAATTTCATTAATATGTCCAAAGAATTTTGATGGTATATCATCTAAAGTTTGGCGTGGTAAAGAATTATGCATTTTGGTTATTCGTTCATATTTTATTTCATTATCAAGTATATTTTGAATTTCACTTTCAAGTTGACATAAAAGAAAGTTTTTTTGTACAGTATCTTTTAGTAAGCGATTAAGTGATTCTGTTCGCTGAGTACTGTTTATTCCACAATTAAAAATTTTGTTTATATAGCAACTTGCCCAGCTTTCTTTTGTTGGTTCAAGTATTCGTTGTAAATATTTAGCTGCCTATGGAAATTTGTTGATTAAATTTTTCCATTTTGCTTCAAAAATTTCAGTAATAAGACTGTTGCGACATGAAAAAAATTCAGACCGAAATTCATTAAAATTTTGAGTACCAAGTTTTGGTCTTAAATTTTTTTTAAGATTGAGGTCAATGTGAAATATGCATAAATTATGCTTTGTCATTGGATAAACAGAACTAATAGCATTTGCCATTGCAGGATCACAGTCTGTGTAAATAACCTGAGGATAAAAATCATTCAATACTTTTTTAAGTTGGTGTAAAACCCAAATAAATGAGCTTTCTGTTTCATCTTCTAATAGAGCACTTGCTACCAATCGAGACCTTGTGTTGTTGTCAACAATAATAAATAAGCATAAGACCATATCATACCGATTTGTTCCAGCTGTACAGTCAAAAATTAAAACTTCGTGAAATTTAGTGTAATAATATATTTGATCAGGTGACATCCATATTAAGGATGTTAATCATCGATCTTCTCCAGATAATTGAAATTCAAAGAACCATTCAGGATTCTGTTACTTCTTATCATAAAGATGATATAAAAGGTTAACAGCATCATTTTTAGTAGTATTTTTTTGCTCAACCTTAAATTTTTGTATAGCATTGTATAAATCCTTCTTGAAAATTGGATGGTCAAGAAATTTTGCATGTAATAGTGGATATATTTGCGTTGCACTAGTTGTCCCATGTTTCACATAAAATTCAACATCGTTAAGCATTTGTTGTGTAAATTTCCAAAATTTAGGAGCCATTTCATTAACCAATGGATTCATATCATGATTATGTTCAAGTTTAACAGAGGTTATACCAATAGAATTTTCTTTTTTAGAGTGCGTCACATTAATTCACCAAGGACAGTTAGTTTGATGAGTTTCTCTATTTCTTTGATTTTCAAGGTTAACAATTTTTTTTGATGTATGATCTCGAAAATAAGTACACTCATAAGTTCTTCGTTTAATTTTATGCTTTTTTTGCTCTATTGTTAAACCTTTCATTTCATTTGGACTTAAATGATACTCAACTCTTGTTTTTTTATAGGAAAATCCTTCTTGCAAAGCATAACGTTCCAGATGACCTTCCAGTTCTTCCCATATCTGAAATTTTGTACCTACAACTAACATAATACGAAGTTCATTTTCTTCATCACTAGAAGTAGAATTTTCGTCAACATATTCACAGAAGTCCATTATTAAAATGTGTAATGAAAGAAAAGGAAGTGGGTTGACGAAAAAGTCAAAAAAAAAAAAATTAAAATGGCAATTTGTGAGAAAAAAAAGTTTATTAATAGTTTAATCAAATGACGTTATAATAATAATTCATATGATCACGTGAAATCACCATGATGTCATAATAATAATTCACATGATCAGGTGAAATCACCTGTGGTGATGGCTAGTATTTTTCTTATATAAATAAAAAAATAAGCAGAGTTAATTGTAAATTTATCATTTATTCAATAAATCAATTAATGTAATTTTTTATCAGTAAAAAAAAGTACCAAAATAAAATAAAGGGAAATTTGTAGTTAGTTATCAAGAAATATGTACATTATAATGATATATAATATATAATGTTCAATAATTAAAGTTAATTTTTTTTTAATTTTTCTTATTCTGGTTGAAATATTTGTTGGTTCCTCATCATTTCCACCATTCAGTTATCTTGTTATCATATATTCTTGATCACTGTCAACAATTTCAACAAGTTTAATAATTTTAATATAATTCTGGTTAATTAAATGATGATCAGAATTTTTTATATTAAATATTTTGGCATATTTTTGGACTATTTTCTATTAATAACTGAACAATAAAACTTTAAAACTTTGGAATGGAGCATTCTGATTTTAAAGTTAGTGTGATTAATTGGCGTAAGTTGACACCATATACATATCACGCTATATAGTTAATGATATCAGGTGATCTTCATTTTAATAGTGATATTCTTTGTGATTGGTTGTTCTGCTAATTGTACTATCCTGGAAAGGAAGGAAAATTTTACTAATTTGGTTAGCTCTTATGCGCTAAGTATAGGGTACGTTTTTTATATTATTGATATTGATATTGGTATTGATATTGATATTGATATTGAATTGAAATTGAATTGATATTGAATTGATATCACTGGTCAAAAACCAAGGTAAACATAGCATGAGCTTGAATTTTATTAATTAATGCCGAAGTAACTTTAGAGAAACACAGAGTGATCTAAAAAGTACCGCAACAAGTGCAGAACTAATAGAAAAACAAAGAACAAATAATCTTCCGAAATTACAAATAAGAAAAGCTAAGATTAAAAACCCCACCCTCTCTATATAAATAATTACGGCTACTCCCTCCAAATATATCTCAAAATGAGTAAAGTCGACTATGCTATACGTAACCCATCCAGCGCCGTACCCACTCCTAGAATCGGTAAAGAACCTCTGAGCTACCATTAGCACTATCAAAAACGCCTAAAATTCAATTTCCCCTATTTGACTACATACTATGGATAACAAACCTATTTCACTAAGACCTCCGGGAACTTTTTAGTGTCGTGCAGTCCAGCCGATGAGGAACTTTTTAGTGTCGTGCAATCCCCGAAGGGACACCCACCTCATTTCAAATGATCCCAAACGGAGGACACCCACCTCATTGCGAACAATCCATCGACCTAAGATCTACCTAGATAAGTCAATCCAATGATAGTCCATCATGTGACCACCTTGATCGGCATACTACAAAAACTGCAGTACCCAACCTGTCACCCCCCTTATCACCCCAATGATGATCGATTTTAAAATTGTAACACCAAGCCACCATGACGATCAAATTTTCCAGTATCCCCCCACCCCCCAAAGAAAATAAGGTTACACTTAAAAAATTGACCAAGAAAAACAAAAAGCAAAAAATAAAGACATAAACCTCAGGAAAACTCGAAGTGCAATGAGAAAAACCTGAGTAAAATTCACCAAACATACATCTCAACTCTTTCTCCTTATTTTAGAAGACTAACTCCCCAGTTAACAACATCAACTAGCAAGAAATACGTTGGTCAGGAGCTCCTTCCAAGAAATACCGGTCCGGCCTGCGAACCACTTGGCCAGTTAGACTTTAAAGGCGTAG